TAGTAAAGGGTCTGAGGGTAGTTTTTCTACAGACTGAGAATGACCCAGAGTTGTTTTAGTTTGAATCATTTCTATTGTTCTACTTCCATGTTTCACTGACTCTTTCCTGTGTCATCTCCATTCTGTCCTTAAGCCCATTCAGTGAATTAAAAAAATTCAAATACTGTGTTTCTGTTCAAAAATTTCCACTTAAGTTTTTTTTTTCAGTTTCTCTTCTGAGACTTACTGTTTTTTCCCCTTCATTTTGAGCATATTTTCTTTCTTTTTTTTCTTTTTTTGAGATGGAGTCTCGTTCTGTCGCCAGGCTGGAGTGCGGTAGCTGGATCTCGGCTCACTGCAAGCTCTGCCTCTCGGATTCAAGCGATTCTCCTGCCTCAGCCTCCCGAGTATCTGGGACTACAGGTGCGCGCCACAACACCCGGCTAACTTTTGTATTTTTAGTAGAGAGGGAGTTTCACCATGTTGGCCAGAATGGTCTGAATCTCCTGATCTCGTGATCCGCCCGCCTCGGCCTCCCAAAGTGCTGGGATTATAGACCTGAGCCGCCATGTCCGGCCTTGAGAATATTTTCTTTTACCTCATTCAGCTTAGTTATAATAGCTGTGTTAATATCTTTGTCTGAGATTTTCAGCATCTGGGTTGTCTTGGAGTTGCCCTCTGCTGATTGTCTTTTCCTTTGCAAATGGGTTTAATTTTTCTAGGTTTTTTGTTTGTTTGTTTGTTTGTTTGTTTTTTTGAGACAAGGTCTCTCTCTGTTGCCCAGGCTGGAGTGCAGTGGTGTGAACATGGCTCACAGCAGCCTTGACTACTGGGCTGAAGTGATCCTCCTGCCTCAGCCTCCCAGGTAGCTGGGACCACAGGCATGCATCACCATACCTGGCTAGTTTTTTAAAAATTTATTTTCATTTTTTGTAGAAACAGTGTCTCACTGTGTTGCCCAGGCTGGTCTCAAAAACACTTTGGGCTCAGATGATCCTTCTGCCTTGGCCTCCCAAAATGCCAGGATTACAGGCATGAGCCACTGTGCCCAGATGATTTTTCTTGTTCTTTATGTAATTTGGAATTGTATTCTTCACATTGTGAATGTTGTATTGTGGAGACTTCGGTTTCTGTTGATGTTTTTGGTTTAGTAGACAATAACTCAGACTCAAAACTGCAAACTCTGTCACACCTGCAGTGGGTGGCAGTTCAAATCTCAGTTCAGTTCTTTTCTCTTTAACTGAGGTCTTTGGATTCTGCCCTGCCTGAGCCTGCCTTGCATGGCTCAGGGTTCAGCCAGAGACTGGGCAGAATTTACACACAGAACCCGAGACTCTCCTTCCTTCTCTTGCTTTCTTTTTTCTTACTTCCCGTGATCTCTGGCTGCTCTGGGCTGTTTCTTCAGGACAGAAAACCTAGGGTTTGTTTTTTAATTGGAACTTCAGCTCGACCAGCCTCAGGCCAGAGCTCCAAAAATGGGGAGTTCATTCCATGTCAGCCCTTTCTTCCAGCTTTCAACTTATTTTCAAAATCTGCCAGCCCTCGTTCACTTCAGATAGTTTTTGTGTTTTATCCAGACTATAGTTGTTGTCTGTGGGAGGGTCATACTGAAAGCAGAATTTCGTACTGACATTTTTATCTATTACTGAAGTGTTTGGGGGACAAAAATGTTCACTTGAACAGGTTTTGTAACCTTGGGCAAGTCTCGTTTCCTCTCTGGGACTCACTTGCTCCTCTGGGAAATGAGGTGGTTGGACTCTGTGATCTGTAAGGATCCTTTAATCTCTGCTTCTAGGCAGACAGACCCGTACACACATACTACCACCGCTGTCACCACCAACAGTAACAACAAACAGTAAGTGCCAGAAGAGATGCTTGAGGGAAGTGATGAGGATGGGTCTGTCATGGTGGAAAGCTCTCTGAAGTGGCATCACTAAGGAATTTGAGGATGTTTACAGTCATCCTCTTGTTTTGGGGACAGAGGGCGAGTACACTGAGGATGCAAGAAGTAAATGGCATTCAGAAGAAAGAAATCAGTTGCTGCTTGCTTCTACCCCTTAGAAACAGGAGAGAATGTAGACAGTTGAAAACAAATCAGGGTTAGCTGGAGTTCCTCTTTCCTTTTGGCAGTGCATTCTGTCTTGTTTTGAAGAGAAAAGCCCCTGGGCCTTAGTAACATGTCAGCAAATTTGGCAGTAGGTGGTAGGTGCTGGGACAGTAGATTTTAGCAGGGGTGCTGCTATCACTGTTAGGGCTGCAGAGACCTTAGGGGAGATAGACTAGATTTATGTGACCTTTTCTTAGGGTTCAGAATTTTTATGTAGGAGAGGTTTTAGGCTATGCAGAAGAAGGTGTGTGTATGTGTGTGTGTGGGTGTGTGTTTGTGTGTGGGTGTTGTGTGTTTATGGTGGGTGGGGAGGGGGAAGAGACAGGTGGTGATGGGGCAGGACAGAAGGTCTGTGGAACTGCCCTAAAACTGTTTGAATACCGATCACACTTACTTTAACTTCCATTGATTCTTTTTTAAAAGCAGAGGGTGGAGAGCTAAAGCTTCCCCCACATCCACCTAAGCCATCTCTTGGGTACTGCCTTGGTATAGATCCTTTTAAAAATTATTTTTAAAGGTAGAATGTCACTCTGTCGTCTAGGCTGGAGTGCACTAGGACAATTGTGGCTCACTGCAGCCTCAAACTCCTGGGTTCCAGGTGATCTTCCTGTCTCAGTCTCCCAAGTAGTAGGACTATAGGTGTGCATCACCATGCCCAGCTAATTAAAAAAATTTTTTTTGTAGAGATGGGGGCCTTGCTTTGTTGTCAAGGCTGTTCTTGAACTGGGCTCAAGCAATCCTCCTGCCTTGGCCTCCCAAAGTGCTGGAATTATAGGCATGAGCCACTGTGCCTGGCCTAGATCCTTTTTGATACTTATTTTCTAGCTGTTTTTATTATCAGTAACTTTTTTTTTTTTTTTTTTTTTTAAAGACAATGTCTCACTCTGTCGCCCAGGCTGGAGTGCAGTGGTGCGATCTGGGCTCACCACAAACTCCGCCTCTTGGTTTGAAGTGAATCTCTTGCCTCAGCCTACTGAGTAGCTGGGATTACATTCACATGCCACCACGCCCAGCTCATTTTTGTGTTTTTAGTAGAGACAGGGTTTCACCATATTGGCCAGGCTGGTCTTGAACTCCTAGCCTCAGGTGATCCACCCGCCTGGACCTCCCAGAGTGCTAGGATTACAGGCATGAACCACTGTGCCTGACTGATACTATCAGTAACTCTTCTCTTTGGGAGGCTGACGTGGGAAGATTACTTGAGGTCATGAGTTTCAGACCAGCCTGGGTGACATAGTGAGACCTCATTACTACAAAAAAATTTTTTTTCCAAATTTTATTGGCTTGAGGCTTGAGTTCCTCCTGTTCCCCTCATCTTTTAAACTATTTTTAAAAACTCTCATTATTTGTCCATCTTCATTCTAGCCTTTTTGCTCTCTAGGAAGAGGCAGGGATGGATTCGTGTGTGTGTGCGCACGCGCAGGTGCATGTGTGTTTGTGTGTGCGCGCGCCTGCGTGCGTGTTTTGCTGGAGGTGTGGAAGTTGGATTGAAGGGACCAGTAGTCTTGGAAGGCAGTCACAAGGTGGCTTGCAGGGATGTGCAGGGGAGGCAGTTGTGATGAAAGAAGGGAGGATAGTTTGAATGTAAGATCACGTACAAAAGCTTTAGGTTTACCACTAGCTTAGAAGCTACCTTTCCATTTTCCTCAAGAGTAAGTGAGAAACACAAGAAGTTTGATCCAGATTTTCCATCTCTAGTAGCTCTTCTCTGATTTTAGGGGTAAGATTCAATGGGATGGTAGGCTTTTCAGCTCTCCTATAGAAGGCTGCTTGTTACAAAACTAGAGGGTAAGTTTGCAGACAAAGAAGCTCTATTTTTAGTTCTAATTGATATTGGGTGGTTCAGGGCTCTTCTGAGGACCGAGTCTAGAAGGCAACAAAATGAGAACCAGCATGGTGAAAGGACTTTCAAAGTCAGACAGACTTGAGTTTAAACTCTGTCATTTAATAGCAAGCTGTAAGACCTTGGACAAGTCACTTCTTGAAACTTAGATTCTTTATCTGTAAGGTAGAGGTAACATTATGTTCTTATTGTCTTATATAAAACATAAAGCATAGTGCTCAGGGTTGGTAAATACCCCACGTATGTTTTTTTCCTATCTTCTAGAACATCTTACTTTTACTAGAATCCTTTCTTTTCTGCTAAATAATTGCGTGACTCACTACCAAGTTTTAGTTTCCTTCCGTAAAACAAGGACATTTAACTGAAGGTTGAGTATCCCTTATCTGAAATCCCTGGGACCAGAAGTGTTTTAGATTTCAGATTTTTAAAAAAAATATTTGCATGTATATAGTGACATGTCTTGGGATAAGACCGAAGTCTAAACATGAAATTCATTTATGTTTCCTATACACCTTATAGAGCCTGAAGGTAATTTTATTTTTCTCCAGGGGACATTGAATAAACCTGAGTATTGTCTGCCTGTGTTTTGACTGCGACCTATCACATGAGATCAGGTATGGAATTTTCCACTTGTGGAGTCATGTGGACACTCAAAACGTTTCAGATTTTGGAGCATTTTGAATCTGGGATTTTCAGATTAGGGATGCTCAACCTGTAGTTGATTTCTGAGATGCTTCCTAGCTGTAAGATGTCATATACATTTTTAGACTGTTGAGGAATGTTTAGGTGTTTTAATTTAAGCAAAGACAGTGGGTTCTACCCTAGGACCATATCATCTTATAGGGAAGGGGAAGTCTCCTACAGCCAAATTCTTTCTTGACTTTCCTGAGAGAGACATAGCCAGCTTAGCCAGTTTCCTTTAGTGTCAGGATCTAGATGCAAGTTTTACCTTGGCCCCTTGCTGACAGTGAATTATATGTAAAAGTCTTTGGGACAACCCTCTGGGTCAGCTCAGTCTTGGTATGATTCATGCATTACCTATCTCTTGCATTCTGTTTATATTCTATCCAGGTCAAGAGACAACTGTCTTTGAAAGATAGTGAGTGACTGTTTCCAAAACTGCAAGCAAAGGGAGAGCCACCGGAATTATTGACGGAAAGCTTGAATTGCCTAAATGGTAAGTATGTTGTACAGTGAAACCTGGGCATACCAATAGGATTGGGTGGTTTCTGAAGCCACTATAATTTTGCCACTACTGGAAGTGGGGAGGAAAGTCAGTATTTGTGATGGCCTATTATGAACCAAATACTATGCTGAGTACTTTACATGTTTTCTCCTTTAACCAACCAATCAACCTGATGAGGGTGAAAAATCCTTGCATGAGGTCAGCAACCAAAAGAAGTAGGCCATCCTTAAGAAGTAGCTACCGGCCGGGCGCGGTGGCTCAAGCCTGTAATCCCAGCACTTTGGGAGGCCGAGACGGGCGGATCACGAGGTCAGGAGATCGAGACCATCCTGAAACCCCGTCTCTACTAAAAATACAAAAAAAACTAGCCGGGCGAGGTGGCGGGCGCCTGTAGTCCCAGCTACTCCGGAGGCTGAGGCAGGAGAATGGCGCAAACCCGGGAGGCGGAGCTTGCAGTGAGCTGAGATCCGGCCACTGCACTCCAGCCCGGGCTACAGAGCAAGACTCCGTCTCAAAAAAAAAAAAAAAAAAAAAGAAGTAGCTACCATTTATTGAATATTTACTCTATGTCGGGCGCAGTCCTGTTGGACATGTTAGCTCCCTACCAACCCTATGAAGTAAGTACTGTTGTCATCACCACAAGGAAACAAGCTTAGAGAGGTTAAATAACTCTTCCAAGTTCACACAAGTAGTAGAACTAGGTTTCAAACCTGTGTTACTTTCTTTCCTTTTTTTCTGAGAGTGGGTCTCACTCCCATTGCCCAGGCTGGAGGGCGGTGGCATGATCATGGCTCACTGCAGCCTTGACTTCCTGGGCTCAGGTGAGCCTCCCACCTCAGCCTCCCGAGTAATTGGGACTACAGGTGTGCACCACTATGCCCAGCTAATTTTTTTGTAGAGACTGGGTCTCTATATTTTCCAGGCTGGTCTCAAACTGCTGGGCTAACGCAGTCCTCCTGCCTTGGTCTCCCAAAGTGCTGGGATTATAGGCATGAGCCACCACCACAGTGGGTTATTTTCATTACACTGTAATGTTTCTCTTTTGAGAAAGTTACTTTTTGGTTGAGGCTGTGACTGATCTAACGTTGGAAAAGCAAAGCAAAATACAAAACCTTTTGATCAACAACTAGCTTCTTTTCCTAGCCATATGTGGATTTTATGTGCCAATATTTTATTGGTTGGTGTTGGCTAAGGCAGAGTAGAGCACTAATGAAATAGAAGGGAGAGAAGTGAGAACTTGAGTGGTGAGTGGCCAAGAGACCCAGTGGTCTTGGTTGCTACTGATAGCTGGATGATAGAGAAAACTTCCCTAGGAAAGTAGAGCAATAGGATAACTCAGAATGAGTGGGAAATGGGTTCTCCTCATAGCAGTGACTGGGCATAGGAAAGGAATCTTAACAAAGCCTCTTGCTCTCATGTCAACCCCTCTTAGGAAATAGGTATAGTTAGGGATACTACAGAACTCTTCTTGAAGGAGTGGGAAAATTCAAGGCAAACTCTTGCCCTGTTAATTGGTTCAGGATTCTTGTTCTGTTCCTTTCCCTGGAGCATTTCTCTTATCTCAGAGAACTGGGTTATGAAATTAATTTCTTGTTGGGCGAGTGGCAGCCAGTATTTGGTCTCTTTTAATGGAAGAACCAATGGTGTTTTCATATATTTGGTGAAATTTTGGGGAGAACAACCATTTTATTCGTAAAACTTACTACAAATACCTATTTTTTATTTTTTTATTTTTTGAGACGGAGTCTTGCTCTGTTGCCCTGTCCGGAGTGCACTGGCGAACTTGGCTCACTGCCACTGCAAACCTTCGCCTCCTGGGCCCAAGCGATTCTCCTGTCTCAGCCTCCCAAGTAGCTGGGATTACAGGTGTATGCCACCACGCCCGGCTAGTTTTTGTAGTTTTCGTACAGACAGGGTTTCACCGTGTTGGCCAGGCTGGTCTTGAACTCCTGACCTCAGGTGATTTGCCCACCTCGGCCTCCCAAAGTGCTGGGATTACAAGTGTGAGCCACTGCGCCCAGCCTACACATACCTATTATGCATAAAATATTTTGCTATATACTGGGGCTAATGTTCTGATGACAAAAAAAATTGACCACTTACTACATGCCTTAGTTATTGGAACCAAGTATACAGCATTAAACAAAATAGAAAAAGTCCTTGCTCTGAAGGATTGTATTCTAATGGGTAGAAACAGATAAAAATGAATAATTAGATATAAATAAATAAACAGGTAAATAGATAATAACATCCACTAGATTGTACATGCTAAGAAGACAAAAAAGCAGCGTAAGGTGATAGTGGTAGGGAGCTGAGGGATTGCTTCTTTGTGTATAGCAATCAAGGAAGGCCTCTGATGAGGTGATATTTTAAGCTAAGATCTAAAAGAAGTGAGGAGTCCAGCCAGGGAGATATCTGGGGGAAGGAAAAGCATCCTAGGCAGAGGGAACAGCAGGTATAAAATCTGTGAGGGATGAGATGAGTGTAACTGGTCATGTATAAGGACCCATAAGGAGGCCATGTGGCTGGAGTGGAGTCGTAGGGAAGGAGCAGCAGATGAGTGATGGGACCTAGATCTTGTAGGGCCTTAGCCATGTGACACCTTTGGAGTGCATTGTATTCTAAGTGAGGTGCACTAGAGAGTTTAGAGCAGAGGAGTGACTTGATCTGACTGATGTTTTAAAAGGCCTCCTCTGGTTGTTGTGGGAGAACAGACTGTGGAGGGTGGGGAAGGATGGACAGTGATGGGAGCAGGGAGACAAGTTAGGAAGCTTTTGCAGTAATCAGTAGTCCAGGGCAGGGATGATGGTAGGTTGGACCTGGGTGGTAGTGGTGACTAACCAGAAAGCAATGGATTCTAGACATATTTTAATTCTCCCCGTAGACATGTTTGATTTTTTTTTTTTTTTTTTTTTTTTAATTTTTTTTTTTTTTTTTTTTTTTTTTTTTTTTTTAATTTTTGTCTTTGTTTTTTGGGACAGTCTCACACTCTGTCACACAGGCTGGAGTATAGTGGTGTGATCTCAGCTCAGTGTAGCTTTGACCTCCCAGGCTTGGTTGATCCTCCCGTCTCAGCCTCCTGAGAAGTTGGGACTACAGGCACGTGCCACCATGCCCAGCTAATTTTTGTATTTTTTGTAGAGAAAGAGTTTCGTCATGTTGCCGAGGCTGGTCTTGAACTCCTGGGCTCAAGCTCTCTGCCTGCCTCAGCCTCCCAAAGTGCTCTATGATTATGGGCATGAGCCACTGTGCCCATCTGAGATGTTTGATTTATTTGGAGTTAACCTCTGGGTCACATGGGTTTAAGGATGTCATTGGAAACTTGACAGTGATCTCGGGTAAAATTCTAAAATTGATTGATCAAAGAATGAGAACAACAGTGACCCCTAGAAGCCAGCTTGTATTCATTAAGAATAAATCATGCTAGCTGATAACAATTCTTTTTTTTCTTTAAGCCTTGCCATGATTTTGTTTAAATGATTGGTCCAAGTTCAGTATAAAAATATTAGAGAATAGACATAAGCAAAAACAGAAAAAAAGCACATTATCCAGAAATAATTACCATATAGCAGTTTGGTATATATCAGCGCATTTCATTTTTGGAAAGATTCCTAGGTTGCTGGAGGATTGGAATGTGCTACAAAGGTGATGTTTCTTAAGTGCTAAAATTAGGTATTTAATGTTTTCTCATGTGATCCCAAGACAAAAAAAAATTTGACCTGGCTTTGGAGCTTGTTGAATAATTGCACTCAGGAATTGTAGTAGATCGGTGTTAATCTATAGGAGGTGTTTTTAGTGACATTCTACAGGGCTGTCAGGGCTGTTTTTGGTTATATTTTGTTTTTGAACATCAATTTGGATGAAGATATAGAAAAGACTTGCCTATGAGACTTACATAGTGAATGCTTGCAGGCTGGACAGTGTAGAGAATATTTAGTCAAGGGATTAAAACTAAGAAGTTGAAATCCAAAAATAATAAATAATAATTTAAGCTGAAACTTACATGACACTTACTGTGGACCAGGTACTAGTCTAAGCAATTCTTGCATTAACTCATTTACACATACCATAACCTTACAGGTATTGAAGCATAGAGAAGTCAGATGACTTATCCAAGGTCACACAGCTAGTAGCTAGTAAAGTCAGAGTTTGAACTTAGGCTACCTGGCTTCAGAGTTCGTAAACTTTAATCATTGTATCGCATTGCCTGCAAAACAATTAAACCCCATATTTCGGTTATTAAAAATGAGATTTAACAATTTATTTGGAAACAAAACCAGTATGAATCTACAAACTGGTACTGTGGCTGCCAGATTAGTTCATGCAATCTTGGACTTCGTTATGAGAACTGGGCAGACCAGGTCATCTTTCATCCGTCCCACCCTTTTACTCCATTTGAACTGTCCTGGTTCAGGCCCTTATCCCATCTCTTGCCTTGACTATTACAATAGCACCCTAGTTTATCCTGCTAGAATGGTCTTTTAAAAAACTGCAGTTCTGATTGTGTTACTCCCTTACTTAATCCCTTTGTCCAATACAGGTTGCAGATTTGCTTCCCATTTCCACTTGCAGGCATGTGTGTTTTGGAGGACTATACAGTGGTATTCTTTTTATTTTCTCTTTTTTAAAATCTGAATTCATTGGCTACATTTAAGAGATTATATATAAAAGGAGGGCATAACCCCTCTTAGCTATAGTCCTTCTAGGCCCTTGAACTCATTTAAATCATTGGCCTGATCTCTTTGGCACTTGCATTTCAGCCTTTGGCATAAAGGCTAATCATCTTTCCTAGAATGTAGTGCCTAGATCTGAAAATAGTCCCCTTTATGTAAATTTGGCCAGCACGGAATATAATAAAACTATTACATTAATTTATTTACAAAACATTTACAAGGTTCCTACCTTGCCCCTGTCACTGTATTCAGTGTCCAGGACTGAAAAATGAAGATAACACAGTCCCTGCTCTCAGAGCCCAGCAGAGGAATGACAGA